AGATTGCAGATTTTGGAGTGGCTGATGTTTTTGAAGGTGATGATGCTTTGTTAAATAAAACTGCAGGCTCTCCAGCTTTTATGGCTCCAGAAACTTTACAAAGTAAGCCCAGATTTCTTGTCCTTAAATCTTGTTAATAGGGCGTTCTTTGAATTGTTTTGTTTTTGGTGGGAGTGCAAAACTTTTAGTTCAAGCTTAGATTAAAAAAAAAAGGAATAGTCTCCTAATAACAGGTGAGTTGACCTGAAGTTGGTCCAAATATTCTTGTGAATAGAAAACCTGAAGTCATATGACATTTGTTTGAGTTAAGGCTGCATGGGTTGTTATATTGGAGTACATTTTTTTACTTTTTATCCACACGGGAGAGTAACACCTTGAAACAGGTGAACTTTAAATCATTCTGACAAGCTTTGGTTTGTAAATTTATTGCCGGTTTCACCACAGTGGTCGTAATAAACATTGAGCTGAGTCAGCAGCAAATAGACCATGGAATAATTAAGTTTCATTTTGAAACTTTTTGGATATATTAGTAATTACAATTCAATCGTACAGAGTAGTCTAATCAAGCACATAGTGGTGTTAACTGGACATCTTGGCTGTTCCTGCTTTAAATTTTTTAATAAAGTTTCAGTAATTTAAGAGTTTGGTTGGCTGATTTTTTTTGGTCTTTAGACTCACGGGACAAATACAGTGGAAAAGCGGCCGACATATGGGCACTTGGAATCACTCTTTACTGCTTTGTCTTTGGCAAGGTAAATGAGTTGTAGCTTAAAATGTTTTCCTGTCACCTATCAGTTCATCAGAGAGTAGAAATGTTCATTCAGATGAAGTTGAACTCCGCCGGTTTCTTGGGATCCTCGCCAGTCGTACAGAAAGGTTCCACTGACAGTCGAACAGAAACTTTAAACAATTCATTTTTTACTCGGGTTTATCGCGCATGGAACGAACTACCCCTCAACATTAGGGAGTCTAACAACTTGCCAGTCTTACGCAAGAAATTGTTGAATTATTTTTATGATAAATTCAGTGCCAATTTTTTTATCGTAATTATCTTATTTCTATTGTGAGTATAGTATATATTTTTTTCTTTTGTAATTAGTCGTTGACACTGATCTTTTTAACCTAGTAAATAATTAAGGAAGCTTATTTTAAGGAATCTGTATTCTGCTGTCCTCAAATTGATTGAATTGACTTGTTCATTGTAATTAATTTTGAATTTGTATTAAACAAGAGCGGAGAGCCATGAGCAGCAGAGTCAAAATATAAAGAAACTCAATCGTATTTAGTATTTAAAGGACAGAACAAAAGAAGTGAGAGTATCATAACTTGGTCCTTTAGGTTCCATTTGACGACCAAAATAGGATGGGACTGTACGAGAAGATAAAGACTGAACAGTAAGTTACCCAGTGGAATTAATTTAAAAACACCTCCTACAGTGGATACGTCACTGCGATCAATATCATATTTGATAAAATGTTCTTTGCTTAAATCCCGGAAATGGCAGTTAATGACTGTAAATTTTTTTAAAATTATTTACTTGATTACACGTTGTTCTCAAGTAAATGCCGTAAATGCAACTTAAATTGCCGTTAAACGCCGCTCAAGAATGAGTACCAAACAACAAAACTTTTTTTCTATTTATTCCGACACTGTTTGTTTGCCCACAATTCGTCGTATGTGTTGGAATATTTTCTGAAATAATCTCTCTTCTCCTTTCTTTTACATATGTTTCCGCTTTTAGGCTGACCTTTCCTGAGGAGTAAGTACCGTTAAACTTTTTTTCCTATTATTGAGTTCAAAATTTTCAGTTTTCACACAAATCAGCTATCGCATCTTATGACTGCCTATCGCAAACTCAACTCATAGGTTGAGAATGCCCAGTCTTTCCAGTCCTTAGTTCTAAAGAAATGCTTGTTCTCCCTTTCCACATTTGTAAACCTATTTCCCGCGTTCAGCTTTTAATTTGCAGCATCATCCGATACTTATTACAGAAAATCACTGTCTCAAACTTAGACTTCAATTGTATAACTAAAGGGACAGTGGAATTAAGTTTAAACTCTAAACATTCATCGTTCTTTACACTTTGTAGACCTGTATTAAATCCCCAGTTAGAGGATCTTATTTTGAGAATGCTGACGAAAGATCCCAGTGAAAGAATTACCATACAACAGATCAAGGTATGTCAACAAAAGTTTGAAGAAACCGGTGCAGAAGTTGTGATCGAGAGAGTTGTAATCCAACACGCCCAAGTCTGAAGCGATAGTATACATTTTTTGTTCAAATTTATCTTGTTCTTATGTCGACTGTTGGATTTTGGAGTTCGCCGTGTGTTCTCAATTAACGATTGATTTTGCTAAGTCAGCAAAAGCTAATTTAAGTTCATGATGTCAAAGTCGATAAATTACGTAGCTCTTGTTTGGTATACATTTTCCTGTTTCGTTGTTTTACTGTATGAGGAAAAAACCAAAAAAAAAAAAAAAAAAAAATTACACTAAGTGCCATCTTAAGCCTTAGTAGACATGCCATCCATGTGTTTGACCATTGTCACGCTTGTTTGGTCGGCGTAGATTAATAATCTATTTATTGTTATCTACAAATAGGAGCATCCGTGGGTTACTTACGGCGGTAAACATCCTCTCCCTACCACTGAAGAAAACTGTTCTGTTATTGAAGTCACTGATGATGATATTCAGAACAGTGTAAAGTCTATTCCAAAAATTAAGACCCTGGTAAGTATAAGATTCCTATTGAACCACTTTAAGCTTCGTTTGTATTCGTTTTTAAGAAAATGCCCCTCCCCCCTTCCGGACCACCATAAATGGAGATTTGTGATGGATAGTCCAGCGGTTAGCGTGCTGGGCATGAGATCTGCACCTCAGCTTGAGACGTCATCGATTTTTTTTAGTTTAAACTCTTCGTGCTTTGGAAATTCGAACTGCAACAGTTATCCTTTTGAATAAGAAAAAACCCTCGATGAAGATTTGTCAAACCTGGTTGACAAATTCTTCACGCTTAAGCTAGAAATGAGTCAGAATTTAGAGACAAACCCGTCATTATAGTCTGAAGTCTACATTCGTCTAGTTGGCTAATCGAATTCAAAATGTAGGCTCGAAGAGCGAGTTATATATCAGTCTGATGATGCCTGGCTTTTCTAGGCAAAAGGTGCTTTCTTGGCACATAAAGGCCAGCTATTAATAATTCATTGGCAGGAAATTGTATATGCGACAGCCATGACTAATTTACAAGTTTCTCTTCTTCGTTTAAACACATTTCATTGTGTTTTTATCTCCTTCCCAGATACTTGTGAAGAGTATGTTGAAATATCACACATTTGGGAGCCAAGCAAAAATAGAGCGAATACGATCACACTCACAACCAAACATCGCACGAAATGTAGAAGACAGGGAAATTACTAAAATATGATCCTTATTTTAAACTGGATTGTTCTAACGTCTGATAACCCTAAAAACATTACCCTCCGAGTGGGTATTAGGAAGGACGGTGAGCATGCAGGCTACAATATTCATTTTGATGAACTATGCCTCTTTTTGTCTTGCCATTTATACGATATTAAGGCTTATAGATTAACCAGCTTTGTTTTTTGTATAGAACTTAGTAAAGAACCCGTTACCAGCCAAGAGAGAAAACTGTTAAGTGTATATAAACATGAGAACGATGCTAATGATATGGTTGAATGAGAGAGAAATTATTCTTTGCACAAAAACAACCTTAAGCACAGAAAACATTACCGAGACTGTTTAGGAGAACCGAAGAGGGTCCAATTTTGAAAGTACATTTTATCTGAATCCCACGTCAATGTTTTTCGGCACTGAAAACGAAAGCATTTATTAGGATCACAACATCTTTTTCGTTACCTTCAACTCATTTTGCGAAGGAAAATACAGATAATCCTAAAAATACAAAAACAGTTACGGATTTAATTAGAGTAGTTAGGATAATTTATCAATGGAACGAAGTTGTATTTATTGATTCTGTTAACGGGGCTGAAACACAAAGCCAGAAAGAGCTTTAAAGGTGATGCAAAATATGTATAGATATAGTTTGAATAAATGTAGCTAAGATTTATTATAAATTATAGATTCATACACAGCCACCATGTACACAAATGTAAGTCGGAAGTTGACAGCCCTCTGTTTTGTTACATTTTCCGCGGGGCAGAGTGTGGTGGCTGCGATTTTTTTCCCTTTATCTAAATCTCAGGCTTCTCCCATCATGTGTGTAGTTTTTGTGTGCCTTTGCCTTTCATAAGCTTGATACCAGAAAGGGAGGCTGTGGAAAGTCTAAAAAAGGTTTCATACTGGATATATATCTCAAAGTAAAGAGCATTGAATGCGCATATAATTTTACTGTTAAGTAATGACGTGTTTACAACGTATACATGGTGGACTGGTTCGTTACTTTGTGTGTGTCTCAGTTCTGGAAAAGGAAACTAACAGATAACCAGACCACTGGAATCTACATTATTTTTCTCAGTACTTTAGAACTATATCACTGCAATATTTATTTGATTCAACTGGCCTGTTCATAGCTTCTTCACAAAAATATCTATTTTTAACATTATTTTCGTCGATTTCTAAATACTCAGAAATGGTTTTGCGAATCAAAGTATAGGTTCAGTTTTTATCTTGTTAATGGTATGAAAAAATAAATATTGTTTATGGCTCTGGATGTTTTGTTGTCTAGCGAAGCTTACTCAGCATTTTTTATCAGCGGTACGACAAATTTCGGTTGAAATCGTGATTTTAATGATTTGGTTATTCTCGTAGTGCTCCTCGCAGTCTTTGGTTTCGCCAATAACTCTCGGGAACCGCAGTTCGAGATAAAATTAAAACACGGCTCATGTAATTGAATTAACAAATCCGCATCGCGTTTATCTTTTGCCATCAAAACTTGTAAATGCCTTTACCTACTAACAAGTGTTTCCTCATTGAGCAAACACACGTATATTGTTGTAGCTTGATGCTTTTTGGGTGAGTAAACAATTGTCTGATTTATTATAACGTCATTTTATTTGCAAGCTAGGATTTCTCCAGGATCGCTTCTACATTCCAAATGCCTTTCTTCCTTCTTTTAGGTTTTTCTTTTGATTTTTCGTGCGCAGTGCAGATACCAGTCTTCTGGAACATTTCAAACTCATAGGAGTTCACTGTCCACTCTGCTTCATCAGGGTCAGAGGCAATCTCGTCCATGGTTCTCTCAACATACGTAGCGTGTCCATTGGCATCAACTAACATCACTGTGTTGGTTCTGAGAACAAGTAGACAACAATGAAGATTGAATAAAGGGGTCAGTTTCTAAAGAAACTGTGGTGCTGCGTCGGTGGAAGAGTATAGCAGGTAATTTAGTGTTAACAACTGAGTTGAAAACGTAAATTAGCCATCGTAAAGGGTAAAAAAGCTGACATTTCGAGCGTTAGCCCTTCGTCAGAGCGATGGGGAAGGGCTAACGCTCGAAACGTCAGCTTTTTTACCCTTTACGGTGGCTAATTTATGTTTTCAACTTAGTTGTTAACACTAAATTACCTGCAACAATGAAGATTGCATACGCTGCGGATATAATATTAGCAGTTTCCGTGAACCATATGGAACTAGGAGCTAATGTTTTCCCTAGTTTCTAGGACTGTGGCGTGGTCAGTCAAATAGGACGGCTATTCGCTGAGGTTAGTTAACAGGGATGGATCGACTGTGAGAGACTACGAGAGAGCGTCCTGGAACTAGGCTAGTTTCAGTTTGGCTCATATTTGAGCATATTTGAACATAAAAACAAATATAACTAGGACAGAAAATTTATATTCGTAAATCTTAGTATTTTCAATTATGGAAACCCTAGCTTTGAGAGGCAAGGAACATGATTATAACTGCGATTCCTAAATAGAATTTTTCTCTTTTTCAATCAACTCTTACCAAAATTGACGCAGTTCCTACCTTGTTCCAAAATTCATAACTTGATGGCTGACAAAGACTGCCCGTGACGCCTCAATAAGAGCTTCATCGAACCCTTCATCTTGAGCCGCAATGAAGTTGTTGTGATCACCGCAACTTACACTAAAAGATCTGAACACCGCAACACAACAGGAAAGCTAATGAGTACAAGCGCTGATCTAGTATGTGGCATGATCAAAGAATGAGGCGACAAGACGAAAAACATCTTTCTCTATTTCTTTACCAAGCTGAAAACTTACCATCCTTCTTATTCTATTTAAAAACAGGACGCTATCGACATTGCTGATCCTAGAAGTATGCACGATGCGTGTGATATGAACTTCGTAATAGACCTCGCTCATCGTAGAGTCTCTGTGGCTCAGCGGTTGAGTATCGGAGCGCGGAATCCGAAGGTCTAAGTTTTGATTCCTAAGGGGGGCCTCAGAATTTTTTTCTTTGTCCCACGTTCGCGACAAGACGAAAAACATCTTTCTCTATGTCTTAACCGAGCTCAAAACTTACCATCTCTCCTATTCTATTTAATGACTATTATTAATTTCCAACACTTTATTGGAGTCGATCAGTTTACGGCTTTCACAAGCTACGGAGAACAAAAACTGCACTTACCTCTGACGGGCCTTCAGCAGCCAGAGCAGCTCGTCAACAAGATCTTCTTTAGTTGAAGTTTCTTCTATTATTCTGGCGAATCTTTTTTTCCCATAACCCATCTTGGGCCAAGAACAGTTCAACGTTTTGTTCGATAAAACGTGAATCCCAGGTTTCAACATTGTGACTTGTTTATTTTCAATGTTACAGTACCATCCCACCTTGGTCTCACCATTTGGTGACAATTCACCCACCAAGAGATTGAATCCATTGTAGAGGTCTCCTTCGTTACTTACTTTCTTGAGGTGATTCTCAACGTCATCGTCACCCTTCAGAAAGTCTGAAACAAGGTGGCCTCTCCCTTTTGCTTTAGAGGTAGTGAACTTTTTCGACTGTCTGTAAAACGTAGTAGCAGCAAATTTGCCATTACTTTTCATCCCAATCCACGTTCCACCTTCTCTTCCTGACTTCATGTCCATTCCTGCGCACAAAACAAGTCGGATTCTGTTAAACTAGTTTTGCCATTTAAATGAGCTGGAAATGTCCTTCGTTATGAAGCAAATAAGGACGAGTTGTAGTTGTTTTCAATGTTTTAGTTCTTATGGGTCTGGGATTCTTAA